GCTAGCTGTGAGACTTTGCCATTGAGAGTGGAAGACATGAAAAGATTAGCTGTCTTTGATCATAGGTGCCTGCGCTCTATCTCCCATGTGAAGTGGTATAATAAGGTGAACAATATTGAGGTTAGGTGTCGGTTGAGTACTAGGTATGTGGGAGGGTGAATCAATCGACGAGGCTGTGACACTACATCGACTGAGATGGTTAGGACGTGTTACGTATGCCTAGCCTAGTCATCGCCTTCCTCGACAATGGGAAATGTTAGCTGACAACGGGTCAGGTTGGAAAAGACCTAGCGGCGGTCAAACCAAGACATGATTGCACCAGTCAATGAAATCCACAACAGTTAACTTAAGCCGGCCACGTTGGAAGGAGTAAACTTCTTGATTGGGGTCCTCGGGACGGTAAAAACCAGTGGCTGGAGACAATCAGTGATACGGCTCAAAATCGTTCTCAATGGCTGACGCAGATACATCCAGTCTTTATGACTTATAATTTCCAATGAAACTATCTTGTTCTTCGTTATTACTATTCCTTTTGCCTCATAACTCTGTTTACTGTCTCTACTTTACATTTCTTCTCTTGCTTTGTGTGGTTCATGGAGTTTGGCGACTTGAACTGCTGTACATATGTGCAAAGTTCTATGTCGAAGACAGACAGACAGAATTCTATTCTAACTGCCTATGGTTGTTTTTAAAATGATAAAAAGACATTGGTCAACAAAGTCCATTCCTTTCGTAATCCTACTTCAAAGCTGTACAGTAGTTATATAGTGTTCTGAAAGATCATAGAAATGCCTATAATGGTGAGTTGTTAACAGAACATATGAATGTACATATCTCTCTTCTGGAAAGTGTAATGACTCTGCTATCTCAATACTGCCCTCACCTATCACCTCACAAAGTTATCAGTTACTTTAGTTGTATATATATATATATATATATATATATATATATATATATATATATATATTTATTCAAGCTTTAGTTCTCGTCCGGTTGGTAACCTGGGTCAGTGTGCGTCTATAGCCGAATAACAGTTGTGTCTAAGAGACATGACTATCTTAAATATAGACTTAGTGGGTGTGTTATTAAGATGTGATGAAACTACATTTGAACACCAATATAATACTTCTTTATTTACGATGATTATTCGTAAGTTGTATGACTTAATTCTGTTGATATAAGGCACCAGTAGTTTAATTAGTTAGGCCTTAAGTGTTTTGAATGGATGTTTTTAGTACCACAAAATATGAGTCACAAATTGGGACGGGGTTTGAACCTGGGAATCACCAGCTATCAGTTGAGCGCTTACACAGTTAGTCCATATCATAAAATTAATACTTTGATTGGACACTAGTAACTAGTGTGACGTGTCTAGTCCTTTCTTTGGTGCAGACTGAATTCTATCAGTCAGCCAAGTTTTCAATGTGGCCACCATTCTAGGTAGCTCGCTATCACGGTGCACATTAATTTGATGATATTAGATAGTTGAAGGCAATCGTTAGAACGTCTTGGACCTGGGTTTCCTGCTAGTTGGCACTCACCAGTCAGCAAGGCGTATCTGCAACCTTGAAGGAACTCATATCCCTTCTGAGGTCCGAACCCGCGTCACCCAGTGAATGCTGCAGTCAGAGACGTTGCCACTGAGTTATTCGGGCTCGCGATTGACCTCCTGTAGGACTGTAGTGGGTATTTTGATTGGACGAAACCTACGTCCGAGGCTTCCTGCCGATTGCCTCCAACTATCTAATATCATCAAATGAGTACTTTATCGACAAAATACATAGAAGTTGAGAAAGCCAACGAGAACCACTTATTGTGTTAGAATCAACCATTCTTTAGATAAATATCCTTACGACAAACACAGCTGTACAAATCAAGGAGACTAATTGGTGGTGAACAAAGAATATTCTTTTCGTTAATTTCTTTATGTGGTTCTACAGGTATATATCCATAATGGTTAAGTAATTAATGACATTAGCAACAACATTAATGTTCTAAATAACATCTCATCAGGGGGATGTGCTGATTACAGCTCAAAATCGTCTGTAAGTGGTAATATCCATCAGCATAACACTAGAGTGAATGTAGATAAATTAAGAAAAAATAATGCAGAGTTTATGAACTCATCGATTCTACACAAGGTCAGAGTAACTATAAAGGCTGGATCTGCTTCTTCTGTGCAAAAACTCTGGTTATTTTAAGCAAATCACAATGGGCACTACTGTTGTTTGAAATATTCAGTGCCTACAGGCGTATAGAAATTCATCTCGTACCCGACAGATGATTAGAAAATATTCTTCAATATTGGATTTATGATCTATTTGGATCAGATGATCTAATTTTAAAACTGTTGAAGGGTTATAATACACCTTTATTTAACCACACTAGCAGCTGGTTTGGAACATGAGAAACTATGCTCCTAGAGAGACGGTCAATACAACTAGCTTCACAGGAGCAATTGAATTTATAGATATGAAAGCGATGTTATAAGCATAAAACTTGGGCACTTTGGTAGGGTATAACTCCATCCGTTAACTGATTAGGCAGGCTTAGTTAAGTGTTTAACAAACCGAGTAGTAGCATTAAGTAGCACAAAAAAGACCTGAATGATAAAATAAAACAGATAGAAGAGGCGTTAGTGTTCAATAGCTATCCTTTAAAATTCATTAGGAAGATCTAAAAAGACCAAAAGCATAATAAAAATAATTGTGAAACTAGTAATAATAACATAAATAAGAAAGAATATAAGTCATCTACTGTAATACCATATAAGGAGGGGACATCTGAGACCCTACGTAGGATTTTAAATAAAGCAGGAATTAGGGTGGCATTTAAACCTACAAACTCACTCAGGGACAAGCTCTGTTGGTTAAAGGACCTTGTCGACCCAATTCGACAAAATATTTACAAAATACCCTGCAATGACTGTGAGGTCAACTACATAGGTCGAACTAGTAGGTCAGGCGTAGTCAGATTGTCAGGACATAAGAATTTAGCTAAGGTAAGAATGGTTGACCCCGAGAAGATAATAATCTAGAAAAAAGCTCAGCAATTGCAGTGCATGCGCTAACACACAACCACACAATAGCATGGTGGGAGAGGGTTAAAATTCTAAAAGTAATCTAGGTGGTGGAGGGAGAGGTTGATTACTGAATCCTGGTTCGTTGAGTCTACACACTCAACACACCACATTCAACAGAAATGACTCAATGCAAATACCACAGATATGCATGCAAGATATTGTTACCAGTCAAATCAGAGGAGGATAATAAATAATCTCAAATTGTATTCTATTTCAATTCAAGCACATCACAACATTCTAACAAGTTACTTATTACTGATAACTATAAGAAAAACACTCGTCTTATTTCCAATCTGATTGTAGGTGATCAATAACACTCATATTATTATTATTTTTGAATGTACATTATCCCATATTGATTTTTATTCCAATGTCTAGTCATCAATTCCACTCATGTATATAAATGAAGCGAGAAAGTTGTGTGAGTGAGTGGTTTGATATGATCATGCGCAGCGATAGTTTGTGGTCGAGACGTGGTCATCAGTTAATATTACGGTATAACACTGTGTGACTTAGCAAAATAAAATCTTATCTATAATGGAATGAAAGAGATTTAGCTAGCACTGAATAATCTGTTCGTCGGTGGCACAGTGGTTAGGACTCTCGCCGACCATGCACATGGTCCGACGTTCGATCCCTGCCGACGCACACCTGATATCTATGGTCGCCTGCAAAATTTGGACTACCGATATTCCTGCTGAAAATTCCATACCTGTACGAAAAATACGGTGTGGAATCAAGCTGTAATCAAAAATAAAAAAAAATAATTCTGTCATCTATAAGATACCGAATAAATTACCAAAGACTTTTAGCTACCCGATACTCCAGACATCAGAAGCCCTTCAAGTTGCTTAAAACAACCGAAACCTTAAGCGCCTAGTCTGACTGCACTTGTTCTACTAGTTTGACCTATGTATGTGGCCTGACAATCATTGAAGGTTGAGTATTAGATAAACTAAGTTGTCAAATATGCCAAAGGCAACACCAACAGTAAGGAATCTAAATCATCAGTAGTAATTCCATACAAGGAAGGAACCTCGGAAACCCTACAAAGAATTCTTAACAAGCCCAGGAATAAAAGCGGCATTCAAACTCACAAACTCAATTAGAAGCAAGCTTTGTCGGTTAAAGGATCATGTGGAGCATGGGCAATCAGAATAGCCGAACATAAAAACCTAGCAAAATCTAGATTGGTTGACCTAAATGAGATAAGAAATCTACAGAATAGTTCACACACAAAAAGCTATACAATAGGATGGGATAAGATGACAATTTTAAAATCTAATGTATCAGGAGCGTGGAGGGAGAGATTGATAACAGAAACTTTGTTTATTGAATCAACTGCAAGTGCATGTAACAGGAATGATTTAACACCTGTCCAGTCAGACATCTGGAAAATTCTACTGCCCCTACGACAAATAGGAGAAGACAAAGAAAGCCATAAAACTCAAGTTTCGAAGTTGTGTGATTATAATTGATGAAATGATTATGAACAATAGATTTTGTTCAGAACTTTGTCATCCAGTAAATAATACTGTTTCACTGACTGTGTGATACATCTAATAAACAAACTAATATTGAATTACTTACTACCACAGTGTCGAATTTTTATACATATATTAGTATTCTTTGGCTTTTGCTAATCAGTTTTGTAAAACGCAAAGCTTTAATATAATCAATTCATTCAAACAAATATTTATTGATTTCTAATATTTAAAGTATACATGATGATGATGATAAGAGTAATAGCAAGTATATATCAACATGATCCTATAATAAAGTTTTTTTTACATTTTTCCTACTTGATCAAAAGTTAGGTAGTTATCTAGAACATAAATGAATCAATATTCTGTAGATTTCAGAAGATGACGCAACAACATTTGCATCTATCCGCCCGTCCGTCTGTCCGTCCATCTGTCTATGCTCGAACTTTTGATCGTCGGCTAGGTGATGATACTCTACTATTGAATATTTTAGTTGGATGAAGAGATGAATCACGTTTCATTTCTAATTTTTGTAATTGACGTGTAACACGACTGATAATTTCAGCTTGTGATAATGGACGCAGTGAAACTTGTGCCTCATCATCATTATCTTCATTAGTGTCATCTTCATCCCTAGAAAAGTAAAAAATGCGTAAGGGAGGGGTAAAGAAAAAAAGGTAAAAGAAATGAAAAATTTAATTAAAATGACTAATTTAATGATCCGATTTGACAATGTGGAGTCTTAAAATTTTATTAGCATTCACTACTGTGAAATCAGTATGCTACACAGTAGAAGAAAGAAGAAGTCACTGCTTCTATGTGGTTCAGAGACTTGATGAGAGGGTCACCAAATGTATTTCTAGCAGGCCACTGCATACTTTCAACAACACCTCTCTGCACTTGATGATATAGTCCATTTAGGCGAAGACGCTAACAAAATGCAGAGTCTTCTGAACACCTGAGCTGCAATCTACGAATGTTTGGCATGTGATGCACTCCAGCCAAATGTAAGATGATGTTACAGGACTGGACCGCACTGACTCCATGATTACAAATAGGGAGTAAAGTGGTTGGTTAAGCGTGTTGACCACTTCACTTATTTGGGAAGTTGCATCAGCCAACGTCAACGGGCTGATCTCTGACGAAATCTCAGCACGGATAGAGAGAGGTAGTTTCACACATGCCAGTTTACGCCGTCTGTGGCGAAGACATGATATCCGGCTGGCTATCGACCAAAGGGCGGGTGTACTGTTCATCAGTCCACTCCGTCCTCCTTTATGGCTAGCTGTGAGACTTTGCCATTGAGAGTGGAAGACATGAAAAGATTAGCTGTCTTTGATCATAGGTGCCTGCGCTCTATCTCCCATGTGAAGTGGTATAATAAGGTGAACAATATTGAGGTTAGGTGTCGATTGAGTGCTAGGTAGGTGGGGGGGGGGTAACCAATACACGAGGCTGTGAAATTACATCGACTGAGATGGTTAGGACATGTGTTACGTATGCCTAGCCTAGTCATCGCCTTCCTCGACAACGGGAAATGTTAGCTGACATATGGTCAGGCTGGAAAAGACCTAGCGGCGGTCAAACCAAAACATGATTGCATCAGTGAATGAAATCCGCAACAGTTAGTTTAAGCCAGCCACATAGGAAGGTGTAGACTTCCTGGTTGGGGTCCTCGGGACAGTAAAAACCAATGGTTGGAAGCGATTGGTGATATGGCTCAAAGTGATCGTTCTCAATGGTTGGCTCAGATGCATCCACTCCCTGTGGCTTATGATTTCCAATGAAACTATGTTGTTCTTCGACATTACTATTCCTTTTGTCTCATATCCCTGTATACTCTCTCTGTTTTGCACTTCTACTACCTCCTGTGACTTTGTGTGGTACAAGGAGGGAGTGTGGCGACTTGAACTAGTGCACATCGGTGCAAAGTTTTATGTCTAAAACAGACAGACTTGATAGTAAAGAGTGGATGGTCACTCCCAAAGGATAAATAACAACGAACTCTGATAACGAGCTAGCCAAAAACCCATTCGTTAACATATACACCAAAGAAAGTGGAAATGGACAGGAGATACTCTAAGGGGACATTCAACTTACACCATATTCTATTCTAAACAAGCCGTCGAGTGGGAGCCGCATGGAAAGCGACGAGTTGGTTGTAGGTCTGAGTGTGACATGGAGAAGATCATGTGAAAGGGAAACGAGAACTTATGGGCAGTCATGGAGCGAACTGTTAGACTGCAGAGATTCGAGTACAATGGCCATGTGCCACCTAAACACTATGTTTCAAATAATAGAGAAGATTTGTATCTCAGGTTTATGATTTGCAATTAATAGTGTTCTCTGAGCTGGTTGGTTTAGTTGCTGAGCTTTCGCCGTCCCCCTGCTGGACAACATCTTCAGCGCAATATTTAGCATAAAGTGAAGTGATTTAAATTTCTTCATGAGTGATAGAATTGCGTCTCCCGGTAACCATCTTCACATATGTACTGACCATTTTCTATTGACTTGGATTTTAAACTTTCTGGTCACCTGATCTACTTTTTATTAGTTGGTATATTTGGTCTATATTAACGTGTTTGTTAATTCCATATTCGTTTGAGTACCAGGCTTCTAGGAATTCCCTGACTGCACTTTTGGTGTTTCCTCTGTCTAAGATTTCGACATTATCCCAATCAAACTGATGTCCATAATTGTCTATATGCATTGATATGAAACAGGAATATATATCGTGTCTTTTCACGGCTGATTTTTGTTCCTGGATTCTGATTCGAAAGGGATGCCCACTTTGGTCGGTGTAATGCTTGTTACAGGTCATACAATTTTTTAAATGGTATTGATTTTATCTCCTTTTTCTGTTGGATCTTTCGGTTTGCATCATATCGAATTTAGCGATTTGACTGGCTTGTATGCTATATGTATATCAAACGGTTTCAGTATTCTAGCTGTTATTCCAGAGATATTTCTCATGTATGGTAGGATGAATTTTCTTGTTGGTCTTTGATGATGGTTCCTTGTTGGTGTTGTGATTCGATTTTAAACACTTTCTGATGAAATTTTGTGGATCACCATTCTTTTTGAAGACCGTTTGTAGGTATTTTTCTCCCATTCTTTTCAATTCTGGAGAGATACAGTGTATTTAAACCCTTTCAAACCTTTTATGATGTGTAGCAAGCTGAACTGGTGCAATTTTGTGCAAACTTATATTGCTCAGAATTCAATACATTTCAAATTAAAGATACACATTTATATCAGTCCATAATATCAAGTAAACGATTTTGAATTGTGACACCAAACAGCCACCGACTACTGATTGTAAGCATCCCACGCCCTTCAGTCGATACCTCTTTAGATGGCTGATTGAGATCAACAGTCAAATACACCATAGAATCATAGCATATTTCACAGAGCAAGAGCAATTTGCTCGGACCAATGTCTTGATGAGGAACTTAATAATATTAAACTGTTGGTAAGTGAAAATGGTTATCCTGAAAGGTTTATTGATAAGAATATGAATCTAAAACCAAAGCAGCCCAAGTTAACAACAGTTCCAAAAAAGGCCTTATTCTTACAAATGCAGTTCTTTGGGGACAATACCAGCGACATACTAACACAGCGCCTTAGAAATGTGGTAAAAGGAGCATTCCCTGCTGCAGAATTACGCTGTATCTTCAAAACCACTCCTTTTTCGCGTTCGGAAGTAAAAGATAAACTGTCTAATTTCGCCTCTTCCACGTGTATCTACCAATTAAACTGCTCTTGTGGAACCAGTTACATGGGCTTTACAATTAGGCGTATTTCTCGTCGAAATTCCGAACATCCCCCAGTAAAGTGGCTGAGCAAAGGACAAACAAAATCTATTCACAGCGCTATTCTATCTCATCTTGTGGATACAGAACACAAGATTGATTTTAACCAAGCCTTCAGGGTTATTTACCGCATACCTACGAATATCAATTTCGCCTTAAGAGTTCGACTACTAAATATTGCTGAGGCTGGTCGTTAGGATTCATATTAAGAAGGCTGGTTTGTGCGTCCAAAAGAAGCTAATTCAGACATTATCCTTACCTTGACCATCTAGGTCTGAATGATCCTGAATATTTGTAGAATTTTCCTAATTTTAGTTGATATTCTATTCGCTAGTGTATCTTCATTATTATTATTATTATTATTATTATTATTATTATTTAAGCATCTTTAATGAACTGTAATTGCATTGATCATACTTTACAAATCGATGTTATTTCCAAAACACTAATATTGTTATTAACTACTAACCTAGAATATTCTGTGTATATAAACATGCATATATAATTGTAGAGCCAGAAGAGGAAATTATCGAAAAGGATATTCATTGCTCGATTATTTTGTGTTTTATATTTTTGTTTGACTTCCTCCGATCACTTCCCTACTGAATCCCCCATTTGTGCGTCGGTAGCACAGTGGTTAGGACTTTCGCCGACTATGCACATGGTCCGAGGTTCGATCCCCTACCGACGCACACCCGATATCTATGGTCGGCCTGCAAAACTTGGGCTACCGATATCACATGCTGAAAATTCCATACATGTACCAAATATACAGTGCGGAATCAAGCTGCAATAAAAAAATTAACATTGTTCGAAGAAGAATGCGATAAGTCAGCCTGCGTGGCTTAGCTAACTCAATTACTGAAGTTTCACAATAGGTGAATAAGGCATCCAACGGAAACCAGAAATATATATATATATATTCCATCGCCTATTCATTCTTTGCCTTTTTCAAACATTTTAATAAAAGTTCCCAGTGTTCTTTACGCACTCGTTTAAATGTTCATATGCAGTGAAGACTGATGAAGTTGAAGGACTTTGTCTAGAAAACACTGTGAATATGAATGATATCCTTAGAATTTGATTTTCTTCATTTGTTTAACAAGTTTTAAAAAATCACACAAAAAATGCTAAGAATCTAAAGATATATGAAGATCAGATTTCGGACTTGGATTCTGATTAAACTCAATGTAGATTTTATAACAAATTCCAACCAAATGGATGAACGATCAACAGACTTGTTTGGAAGTCTTGGATCTGACCCCTAATGGGATGATGTGTCTAATCTAGTGAAGAGTCTCAGGCTGGAACTAAAAAGCTATTTAGCGTTCTTTGGTTTTCAGTGATTCTGTTCACGAAGAAGTCTATACTGAATTATATGGAGTTGTTGTTAAAACTTTTCATTGACTATGCTGTCTAGAGTGATAATGAAATATATTTAAATGAATTATTTCAAATGAAATAAATTCGTTAAAAGTGATAAACCTTTTCGAAGAAATAAGTAATATGCTTACATTAAGGAAGGTAGTGTTAATGACGTATCTCTGTTTGATTTCAATGTTTCTGTAAAACTAGGCGCCATAATAATTTTCATCTCATCTGTGCTCAGCTCATCTCCATGTCCCTGAAAGACAAAATTATGGTAATATAATACAAGATAGAAACGTTTACTTTTCAGGTGTTACTTTCATTGGTATTTGACTGTTTATTTCAAGTCTGATCGTGGACTCATATCAGTTAGAGAAGCATCGAAAACTAGAAACTTCTGGACACAGGTGTTTCTTCCTAGTTTGAAACTGTTCAACATCATCCATCCATGACCTCAGTGGTTCATAAGTTGGAACTTATAGGTCATTAGATTCCTACCCAGTAGCTGGATATTCTGCAAGCTGACCTTGTAGCCTGAATGCCCTACATTTGATTTTTGGTTTTGTCATGGGTGGGTACTACTGAAAAATCCCACACTAGGACGAAACACCTGTCCAGTACTTCCCGGTTTTCGATGGTTCTCTTTTCTTCTATATCAGGTTCTACAGTTATATATATATATGCGTCGGTGGCACAGTGGTTAGGACTCTCACCGACCATGCACACGGTCCGAGGTTCGAGCCCGCACCGACGCACATCTGATATCTATGGTCGGCCTGCAAAATTTGGGCTACCGATATCCATGCTGGAAATTCCATACTTCTACCAAAAATACAGTGTGGAATCAAGCTGTAAATCAAAAAAATATATATACACGTGATAGCGAATAATTTCTATTGACCAAAAAATTGAGAAAATCAATTCAGAGAACTTATAGTACCAGTAAGCTGCAGTTCATATTCTCCATATGATCAGTAGGGATTCCTCAACTGTGGGATGAAGTACATAAGCTAGCTACCTCTTCGTATGTCTATTACTATTATTATTCGTTATTGTTAGCAAAGAAGCAACGTCTTCTGATTGGTTGTTTTCCTGCCTAAGGTTATTCTGTCATCTCTTTGTCTACCGTTTCTTAGATAGTCCGTTGATATATCTGCGAATCGTATCCATCCATGCTAAGTCCGCTGTGATTGAATGTTGAGTTCCTCAAGGTTAGGCTTTGTTCTTGTTTTTTCTCATGACTAAGATTTGGGAAGTAAATATTGACGTAAATTGCTGTCTACCAACTTTGGCTAGCAGACAGCTCTTACCACATTATCAGTGTATGATTAAATAAAAGTGTAATAGAGACAATTAATGGTTCAATGTTAAATCACCTGGGCTACATAGGTCATAAGTTCAGTATTGAAGTATCTTTTATTCTATCATCTATTGGGTACCGGCCAAGTTAAACTTTAAGCACCACTAACTACCAATGGAGTGCGACCACTCCAGTGACCTTGAAAGGCTCACTGAGCAAGTTAGTGGAATCCAGCAAATAATAATGTCATCATCAATAAAATATGCTCATCAAAGTGTTATGCTCTTAAATAGGATATCTGGCAAGTTTCAGCTTAGGTTTGCGAAAGATTAAGTTGCTATCTAAGCCAAGGACAAGAGTTAGGGTTAGGTTAATCTAAAAAGAAAGGCGACAGTAGGTTTGGTTTGAGTTAGATTACACTTAGTTTAGGGATATTTTCACATTAGGATTAGGTTCAGGAAAGATGAGGATTGGTTGCTAGAGGGTTAGAAGACCTAAATAATTACATGCATAGAATGTGGTTCAATTACTCTGTTGACATAAGAATAGAACCTGTGCACTGTGGTATAGTTTAATTCCATTGCGGTTAACATTATTTTGATTATGTCTCACAGTGTTATACAGTAGTAATATTTACTGATGACCATGTTTCAAGCACAGTCTATTGCTCAGTAAATATTGCTGTATAACACTATGAAGCTTTATCAAAATAAATTTTATCCACAATGGAATTATACTCTCTCTCTGTTGATACATCAACCTAAGACTGAGAACTATTTTTATCCCATGTGAGAGGAAGCTATCCTCTTTAACACTTTATACAGTTTTTATGCAATTTTTTCATAAATATATGTGTAATCCATACACAAAAATGCCTCTTTCACGTGATTTGTGCTTTCGAGGCTATTTGATAATTGGTAGTTAGTGGTGCTTAAGGTTTAACTTTGCCCGGGCACACAGTAAATTGTTTGAGGCTTACAGACATCTAGTACTCCAAGCTGGAACCCCGTATACAAAAGAAACAACTCTAGCCACTACTTATACCCCAGTCTACTGTGTAACTTAAAAATCACTTCTGTATTATGTTTTCTAATTTATATGGCATTCAATCAGTTTAATGTTATATTCATGCATATTATCACGTGCTCATGTTTTAAATATGTCCACTTCCTATTTTATTTTGCTCTGAAGATGTTGTTCAAAAAGACGATAAACGCTTCATAATTAAACCATCCATCCAGGTCAGAGAACACAAGAAAGCCAAACGATTATTATTATTCCCCTTAATTCTAGAGGAACATACGGCTTCAGACGAACGTCTCCATTGCGTTCGGTTCTCCGCCAACGTTTTCACCTGACTCCAAGTCTGCCCACATGCTTTAATCTCCCTTTCACATGACCTCCTCCATGTCATTCTCTAACTGAAGACCAACTTGCCACTTCCCTTTCAGGTTGCACCCAAGGGCTTGTCTAGGGATGTCACTTGATGGTTTCCTCAGAGTATGGCCAATCCACCTCCATTTCTTCTTGCTTATATATTGCACAATCGGTTCCTGGTTGGTTCGCTCATCGCCAGAGATCCCTGCTGCTGATCTTTTCCGGTTGGCATCTATCCTGAGTATTGACCGAAGACAGCTGTTGATGAAGGTCTGTGAGTGGTTCGAAGTGCCCTTCTTGTCGTGGCGCCGGTCTCTGATCCGTATAGTAAGTAGCACTGACTTCACATTTAGTTGAAAATCCGGATTTTATTTTTCATGCTGAGTGCTGTTGATCTCCATGTGAACTTGAGAGAAATGAAAGCTTGTCTTTCTTTCCCGAACCTCGCTTCGATATCCTAGTCAGTTCCGTCCGTCTGTAGTTGAAACGATGCTTCCCAGTTAGGTAGGTAGTTAGTAGGTGAAGGAGGTTGCTTCTTTCATATTTCTCCCATTTATGGTGATTGTTGTCTGTTGTTGTTGTTGCTGTAGCCATTGGCCAGGACTATGGTGTGTATTTACACTTGTTTATGTAACTTTTAGTTCGTTAAAAGATGGAGAAAAACTATGTGAAACAGGATGCGCTCTTTTTATCCTACAACTATCTTCATTCTTGCTCTTCGTTCAAATTGGTCAAAGAAATCTGATATATGAATGCCGTTTTCTTTTGTGGTGAGAGCTAGCTGCAAGCCAAAAATTGTAGACAGTAATTTACGTGAATGTTACATCCCGAATCGGGGTCATGAGAAACAAAACAGTAACAAAGCTTAACCTTGAGGGACTCACCAACCAATCACAGAGGACTTAACGTATGCACCTGAATTTGTTGAAAATTGTTAACGGATAATGTGAGATTAAATAATGCACATGAACGAGTGGCTAATTGTAGCGTCGTCGTCCTTTTCTGTGCTTATGCAATGACAGATTATATATTTTTCGTATGCTTTTAAATTGGAATTTTGCATTAAAACATTTTTCTGATATACACATTATCCGAAAGGCAAGATATGCCTTTATCTACCTGAAACCAGTTTTGGAATCTTCACCCCTCGGTATTAAGAACCAAATTCGGATTTTCAAAGCAAATGTAAAGTCAGTCAGTCAATCCTTCTATATAGGTCTGTAACTTGCAGTTCACGTGACGAAGAGGACTCAGACAAGTTACGAACTACTGTCAACAACTGCCTTCTTCATTGGCTCCATATTGAAGATCAAATGGCCAACCGGACAGTCGGTCAGAAAGAATTAGCAACAAGATACTCTGGCTGGCGAAAAACCAGCAAGCAAGAGCCGATTGCTCAACAAATGTGTGCGAGAAGATGGAGTTTGATCGAGCATACGATGAGGAAACTGTTGAATGAGATCGCGCTCAATGCAAGCCATCCATCGTTCGAGTGGAACCCGAATGGTAAATTACCACGTGTGCGTAAGTCCGATGGTGACATGGAGGAGATGAGAGATTATGGCCAATCGTGGAGCTAGCCAGCTGAAGACGACGACAGAAAATAGAACAAAGTGGAGATGTGTTGTTGAAGACTTTTGTTCCTTTGTGCGTCGGTGGCACAGTGGTTAGGACTCTCGCCGACCATGCACATGGTCCGGGGTTCGATCCCCTGCCGAAGCACACCTAATATCTATGGTCGGCCTGCGAAATTTGGGCTACCGATATCTATGCTGAAAATTCCATACTTGTACCAAAAATACAGTGTGGAATCAAGCTGTAATCAAAAATAAAAAAATAAATAAAATACGATTCGCAGATATATGGTTTAATTTTCTGAGAAACGGATACAAGCAGTACAGAATAACTAACGTTCAGCAAGAAAACAACCAATCAGATGACGTTGCTTCTCTTCTAACAATAACGCTAATAATAATGTGCAAAAAATTTATAAATATCCCTTGATTTCTCAATAAACGATCTGTTGCCTGGCCATGGTCTTCTGTCGTTACACTTTTATTTTCAAAAGAAAATTTATTCTTGTTATTGAACAACTTAGCCTCCATGATAAGTAAATAGTAAGGTGTAATTCACTCACCTAACAACTGAGTATTCATTACTGGTGGTGATTTATGTGGTTACATGTTGAATCGCCTAGGTCAGCTTGTACAGCATCTGACTGATAGTTTTGGACGCACTTGGTTCGAAACCTGGAATCAGCAACCAAGACTTTCGCTTCACCTTCAGTCATTAGTTCATCAACATATTTATTATAATTGAATTTTAGATTTTCTCGTCGATTGATTGGACCGAAGTGCTCGGTCTCAAGTTGACATGTTGGCTTCTCGTGCAGATGCTTCGACCCGTTGCACAAGAGGTGGCTGTCGAGGTCCAAGTGGTCTAGTAGATAACGCTTTGGCGATTCAGACTATGGGCACTGGGTTCGAGCCTTGTCGGGAATATCATCACTCACTGGGTAATGCAGGTAAATCCAGATAACGAGTCCCAAACAGGACGAAATGCGCGTTATCTTGGATTCCACTGCTAGTCACCATCCACCGGTTAAATTCTAATATATTTATTAGGTGGAAAATATAACTTCTAGAAGAGAATGGTGATGGGTTTGGTTTTGGTCAACTAGTAAGGTACACAGGAATAAATCAACCTCTAGGCATGTTGATGTCGTCTAGTGAGTTGATCATTCACATCCACCGCCGTAAACATTTAAACATATACTTTCTCAGCTAGTAATTCTAAACAATTTATCTTAACACTTCTAATTCGATTAACACTGATATAACAAATTAGATCATTGTGTTTGCGCTAAATAAAGTCTCATTCCTAGTTTTTCAAAAGAATAGATACTTAACAAAGAGTACTCTTTTCGATAGCCCCTTCATCATCAGGCTCTACAGTTATATACATACATTATAGTGAATGAATGAATGAATTAGTGTTATGAACAACATTAATGTTGTTGTTTAAATAATATCAAATGAATAGTACTGAAAGATTACAGCTCAACAGCATCAACTTGACAATAAAATGAATGTCAGAAAACACATTAGGAAAGACAATATTACAAATTCATGAGTTTATAGTCTCTACTGAAGGCCGACCAGGGCAGTAGTAGTGTCTGGCTGGACTTGCTTCTTTTGAACACAGAGCACTGGTTGTTTGAGGCGGCGAATTGCAGTGGCCTCTGCTGTTTGGAACATGTGTTGATTCGATGATGTTTTGGTAATTTATTAGGCACCCGGTATATGATGATAGAGAGTGATTCTTCAACGCTGGCTGGCTGGCTGGCTTTGTGGCCGGTTTGCACCAGATGGTCCAATATCGAACTGTTAATGGTCTTAAATACACCTTTACTTAGCCATACTGGGAGATGTTCTTGAGCGAGTACGAAAAATCAAGTTCCTAGAGCAACGGCCAATATAACTCGCTCCACCACGTGCGCAGTTGAATTGGTAGATACAATTTGAAGTGGCCAGCTAGTCTAGATACTTCCTCTTTCGGTCGAGGTAGCACCATCGATCGTGTAGAGCATAAGACGTGTAGTTGGCTAGCATGTAAAGTCCTTAGAACTGATTTCCTTAAGTTCCTCATAATTATCTCACTTGGTATATCGCCCTTGAATCGCAGTAGTATATAAAGGGGCTTCTAGTTTACAGATAGTGAATAGTCTTTTTCAGATTTCTTTGTCGTGTGTTTCTTGATACATTTTTCGGGATAGCCATTTTCGATCAGAGGATTATATACAATGCTGAATTCATCTTCAATTACTTCTTCTTAGCATATAGCTCTAACTAACTCTCTGTGTCTGAGGGCCTTCACTAAATTTCTTTTGTACTTGATAGGAACGAATCTATAAAAATGTGTATATTGTCCTGTCCAAGTACTTTCTCTATGTGACCATCTGGTTTTCTTGTAAGTAGGACATCCAGGAAGGTAGGCACTTCTGTTTTGGGATTCCTCTTCACATTTGAATTTCATAGCTGAATGTACTTTATAGAATTCAGTAATTACTGTGCTTCTATCAGAACCATTATCACAAAGAATGAAGGTATCATCCATATATCGGCAATAAAATGAGAGCTTACTGATAAGATTGTTCAAAGGTTCATTTTCTAGCTTACTTAGGAAAGCTCATTCCTAGTTCCTCAAATCTTAACAATATTAATTTAAACGGTGTAATAAACGCCTACACCCTCCCCCCCATTTTATATCCCAGCGCAACAGAAAAAAAAAGTTTTTGCAATGAAAGTAGTAATAGTAGTAATGGCTTACCTTAGTTTGAGCATAACATTTTACTGACAACAATTCATCCACTTTCTGTTCCAGTACACTAAGATAAAGCATTAAATTTCTTTCTGTTATTTGATCACCATCACCACCAAGCATTCCAATTATTCTTGATAAATCACAGCCTAATTTTATGGCTAATTGTTTTATTTCTGCTTTAATTTGATCTAGTAGTGTGTGTATATGAGTGGCGCGGCTTTCAGCTGTATTAGCCGCTTCTTTGTCCGAATCGGTTTGCATCTGTCAAATAAAGCAACAAAAAGAAACAAGAGAGATTAAAATGACGCCATACACTACTTATTTATGGAGATGAGTAGTAATATATACCACTCACATCAACTAAGTAGTGCTCGCTAACTAGCCAGATAGAAGTGATCTACGCACTGGACAGCTATGTCATTCATTTCAGGCCAAGTTCATCGACGTTGTACCCAGTCAGACTAGGCCCAGTGACGCAAATCAATTCGAACCACTTGATTTCTGGCTGGCTAATTAGGTACATTGGTAATACTACAGATTGCTAACTTGATTCAAAGCGATTAAAATATTCAGAAATAAGCTTGAAGGAGGTTTTGTGGCATCGTGTACAATCATTCACAATGAATATCACAGATATATTTGCGTTTCACTTGATTAAAAATGGATTGAACATACTTTGATGAGAAGTTTAGCGGAATCACATGCCAGACAGGCCCTCGAGTGGAACCCGCATAATAAGCAACGAGTTATGCGTCGGGCCGAGGCTGATATGGACGAAATCATGTGTGGAGGAAATGAAAGCTTATGGTCAGTCGTGAAGCTGGTTGGAAACGGCTGAAGAGAACCAACTGAAATGAAAATATTCTGCTGAAGCCCTATATTCTACTTGGAACCTATGGGAATAATAATAATAGTAAGGTATTCGTTGTTACATACTTTCATATATTTGGAATGCTTTTCATTTAGTTATCTTTTTTATCCTGCTCTGAAATGTAGTCATATAAATCGATAAATTTGTCTACCAGGTCCTCTACTGATTTATCAGTCACCAACTTTGCCTAACGCGTTAATTTAATATTTGATTTTGACAGAGAAATAAATCGTTTGGTTAGAGAACCATTGGAAAACCTGGGAGTACTGAACAACTGTTTCGCCCTCGTTTGGAACTCTTCGGCACTACGCACCCACCACACCGGTTCGAACCAGGACCTTCTGGTTACAAGGCGAGCTCGTAGACCATTGAGTCACTGGGACCCGATTCAATGGCCTATGAATTCTAACTTCTGCCAATTCACGACATAGGGTGACCCCTAGCCAATGACTTCGGCAAGTATTTGTCCTCACACCTGACCTGCCGCATCCTGCTTGTCACAGCTTGATACACGAGCTCGCCTTGTAACCAGAAGTTCCTCGGTTTGTGCGAACTGCTGAAGAGTCCAAAAAAATAGGACGAAACAGCTGTCCAGTACTCCCTATAGGTTTTTCATTGGTTCTCTAACCAATGTTAGCTCATGATGAAATCCTGTAACCAATCAACCAAATCCCTACAAACCAACAATCAAATAAATTCTTGTTCCAAAAACATTTATCCTTACTATGCAGGGAAGATATATGGTATAGACTCGATTGAGAAATCTAAATCGCTTCAAGATGATATGGATGTCAACTGAATAGGAGGCAATTTAGGTGTAATATACGTACCATGAGACGATGTTTACAAAGGAGCAGTATCTCCCACAATGGCTCTACTTTTATCGAATGTTAGGCCTTCTGACCCGCAAAGAATGCTGATTTATGAAGGCTTTCACTCATTGGCCAGTCATATTTATATTCCAATTTTTGTCTTTGTTATTCAAGTATTGGTTTGTAGGGATTCGGTTGATTGGTTACAGGATTTCATCATGAGTTGACATTGGTTAGAGAACGATTGGAAAACCTGGGAGTACTGGACAGGTGTTTCGTCCTAGTTTGGGACTCTCAGCAGTACGCGCCCAGGACCTCCTGGTGTGTGTGTGTGTGGCACTCTCGTCGACCATGAACATGTTCCGAGGTTTGATCCCCGACCGACGTACACCTGATATCAATGGTCGGCCTGCGAAATTTGGGCTACCGATATCACATACAGAAAATTCTTGTCTTTGTATTGATTTTCATTAATTTAAATGGAGATTTCGTCAAAAGCTGATATCAGTTAGAGAATCACTGAAGACCACTGAAGACTGGATAGCTGTTTGTTTCGAGTTAGGGACACTTCAGTCGAGTGCATCCATAAACACACGATAGATCGAACCTTAGGACCTTTAAGTTTAGAAGACGGCCCGTTTACCACTCTCAACAATCCTCTAACTGGCAGTGGTTTGTGTCGAAATCTTCACTTTTATCTATATAAATAATGCAAATGACTTACTTTCAACTCGTTCATCTTATCATTTCTTTGTTTCTCAACTATTTTCTGCTCTTCATGATATTCTTTCATTGTTTTCTCTATACTTGCAATATTATCGTTTAAACATTCAATCTATTAAATTGAATTAGAGAGTTTGTTTAAAATAGAATTATTGTCTTCAAGCCTACCTGGTTATTTAATTCAGTAACATATTTGAAAAGTGTAAAATTGTCATCTTCATTACGCTTGTAATATCTAGTCATATTATCGATGTCCGTCTTTCCAGTTATCGTCTGTAGCTGATTTATTGCTGATTCATATTCTTGAATTTTTTTACTTCTTTGTTGACGTGCTATTTCACCAGTGGAGCCTAAGCATAAAATAAAAACATGTTTGTCCAATCATAATGTAATGTAATTTAGAATAAAACAGCACTCATTTGATAAGTTGAAATGCGCTTTATACCATGAAGTTATTTGGTTGATAGTGAGAAGTATTGGAAGTCAAGATGCATCATCTGGATGTGCCTAAATCTTAGGGACTGAATCATTGAGTTGGTGGTGTGCCAGTGTTTTTTTTTTCTACCGGGACTCAAACCTAGTCTTCATCACTTTTTTTAAACACTGAAGCGTTATCCGCTGAATTGTTGGGCCCCAAATAAACACCTTATACTATACAGACATTTGGGATGTAAACGAATTTATTAAGTAAACTTCAAAAGCATGATGACCAATCCAGATGACGAGTCCCGAATGGGACGAAACGTGCATCCTAGATTCTGCTGTTGGTCATCATCCATCAAATTGTTTCAGCTAAAATCATCGGATGCCCAGATTGAATCAAATCAATTTCAACTTTTTGTTTATAAATAAACACCCCCTGAAAGCACTATTATGAGTAACTTTATAATATCGAAAGACTGATCAGTGGGCCACAAACCTTCTTTTCGATAACATCTCCATCAAGCTCTACAGTTATACATCCATAATAATTAAGGGATTATTGTTATTAACAATACCAATAATGTTATTAATAATACCGAATTAGTATGATGAATGGATCACAGTTCAAACGCATCTGTAGGTAGTAATATGTATCGATATAACACTAGATCAAACATCGAATAAATAATGGAAAATAATACAGAATTTATGAGTTTATAGATTCTAAAGCTGATCATGTTAGCAACAGAGGTTAGACATGTTTCTACTGTACATAAAGTTCTAGTTTTTTTTAAGCAAATCTCAATAGCTTCTGTTGTTTGAAGTATTCAGAGTCTGCAGGCTTTTGGCGATCTATTTCGTACATGACTCTTCAATACTGGCTTTATGGCTTGTTTAAACAATTTGGTCTAATATTAAGCTATTGACTATTTTCACCACACTTTTATTTAGCCACGCACTAGTAGGTGCTCCCATGCACGAAAAACTAAGTTCTTATAGCAACACGCAGTATAACTGGTTTCAGAGGACCATTTGAATTTATAGATACAAGAAGAGGTAGCTAGTCTAGTACTTTGTCTTTCATTTGAGAAATCACATCTAGTCGTGTGGGGAATGAGCTGCAGATTACAGGTATCAAAAGTTCTTTAAATCTGTTTACTTAACTTGTTGGTTACTCATTCGCTCGGCATATCACCTTTAAAATGCAGTTATTTATATAGAGACTTCTCCTAATGCTCCCATACATCCCAAGCAAAACAGAAAGCCGTATCATCCTGGAGAGAATCAAACACGCCATTCTGGAAGAAAAACTTCGACTGGAACAGGCTGGATTCAGGAGAAGCAAGTCATGTATTGATCAGATCGCCACACTACGGATCATCATTGAACAAAGCCTGGAATTGCAGCCACCTCTCTATCTCGACTTCATCGACTTTGAAAAGGCATTCGACAGTGTCGATCGAGAGGTCATTTCGCAACTACTTCGCTACTACGGGGTGCCCCCGACAATTATACATCTCATCCGACAGCTATACGACAATTCTGCATGCCAAGTAATCCACAACGGGAAACTTACGGAAGCCTTCGAAGTGAGGACGGGAGTGAGGCAAGGCTGTCTACTGTCGCCAATGAGCTTCCTGATTGCAGTAGACTGGATAATGCGACAGACAACGGGCGATGAGGAAACAGGCGTAAAATGGACTCACACAAAAGACTTGGAGGATCTGTACTTCACCGATGATATATGTCTGATTTCCCACAAACTGGAAGATATGCAAGTGAAAAGCAACAAGTTGGCAGAGGAAGCATCCAGAGAACATAGGACTTCAGGTGAACATAGAGAAAACAGAGGTAGGTGATGAAGATTCCTGGCCAACATCAACAGCAATCAACATGAATGGGAGGAACCTGAAAGAAACAGCCTCCTTCACCTACCTGGAAAGCATCGTTTCAACTACAGGCGGAACTGACGAGGATATCAAACCAGAATCGGAAAAGCAAGACAAGCTTTCATTACTCTTAAGTTTGTGTGGAGGTCAACATCACTCAGCATCAAAAATAAGATCTGGATTATCAACTTCAATGTGAAGTTAGTGCTACTTACTATACGGATCAGAAACGTGGTGAGTCATAAAGAGCATCTCAAACAAACTACACACCTTCATTAACAGCTGTCTTCGATCAATACTACTCATGATCAGATGACCAGAGAAGATCAGGAACAGGGATCTCTGGCAATGAGCGAACCAACCCAGCAGGAACCGACTGTGTAACAAATAGGCAGGAAGAAATGTAGGTGGATTGGCCATACGCTGAGGAAACCACCAAGTGACATCACACGCTAGGCCATCGCTCGAGTGTAACCCGAAAAGGAAGCGGCGAGTTGGTCGTGAGTGCAAGGGTGATATGCATGAGGTCATGTGAAGAGGAAAAGAAAGCATGTGGGCAGACTTGGAGCTATGTGAAAACGTTGGCAGAGAACCGAACGCAATTGAGACCCGTGGGTGAAGCCGTATTTTCCTCTAGGAATTAAAGAAAATATTAATATAATCTCCTTAGCAGACAGAAGAATTCTTTTCTACTCTGTCGGTTGTGTGTTTCATGATAAACTTTTCAGGTCAGCTATTTTTAATTAACGTGTCATATATAAGCATAGATTCATATTCAGTTACATCTTCTGGACACATAGTTCTTATCCTGTAGCTGATGACCATTATCAAATTTCTTTTGGACTTGAGAGGAACAAAGCTATGAACAGTGTATACTGTCCTGTCCATTTAGTTTTATTGTGTAAATTTTTAGGTTTTCCACGGTATTTACCGGATTTATTCTAATTTTATTTCAACAATATTAGTGTGAAATAGATTTATGATAACTTTTCATATTGGTTACTGTATAATACTTTACACGATATTGGGGAATCTGTGTGTGTATGTGTGTGTTAATTCGTGCTGCCGGCAACAGTAGTGTAACAGACAGTAAGATATTTCTCTCAGATTATCTATGACCCAACTATGCCGCCTCCTTACTCTGGGGAGGTCGAGGTAATCTGAAGCCTAGGGTAAGATTTCTATCAAGGAAAAATCTTCAAAAACTGCTTTAAACAGGCTATGTGTAACTAATCTCGAGAAATTTTCCCCTCAGCTTTCTATCATACACAAGTAATAATGACGTTTCTGTTAAAGGTATTTCAGTCAGTCAGACTTATTTACATATTTATTTTTTCATAGATATCCTAAATTTTCTTGAATTATCACATCTCCGATATCGAATAAATCTGTGTATGAATGTATAAAGTATTGATTATAATGTGGTTAGATATTGTAACTATCATTCAGTGGATTGTGATGACTTCAATGCGTTCACTTTAAGCGCTTTGTGAACAGTTGAATAGTAACATTTAAATGGCACTGCAATGCAATATTACAACAGTTATGCAAGTGACTGCTACACTACAAACTTAATCGATATATTGTAATCGTCATTGAATCAATTGTGATTATCATTCAAGAACTATTTTAATCATAAGTTTATGAATGCCAAAGTTTGTCCGTCTATCTGTTTTCAACATAGAACTTTGCACCGATGCGCAGCAGTCCAAGTCGCTACACCCCATGTAACACACAAAGCGAGAGAAGAAATGCATAATAGAGACAGTAAACAAGGGTGTAAGACAAAGGAATAGTAATAACAAAGAACAATATGGTTTCATTGGAAATCATAAGTCACAGCAGTGGATGCATCTTCGCCAACCATTGAGAACGATTTTGAGCCATATCACCAATTGTTTATAACCACTGGTTTTTACCGTTCCGAGTACCCCAACCAGTCAGGAAGTCTACACCTTCCTACGTGTCTTAAACTAAATATTGTGGATTTCATTGACTGGTGAAGCCATGTTTTGGATTGACAGTCACTAGCTCTTTTCCAACCTGATCCTATGTCAGCTAACATTTACCATTGTCGAGGAAGGCGATGACTAGGCATCCATAACATATGTTCTAACCATCTCAGTCGATGTAATTTTACAGCCTCGTCGATTGATTTCCCCTCCCACCTACCTAGCACTCCACCGGTTTCTAATCTCAATATTGCTCACCTTATTATATCACTTCATACGGGAGATAGAACGCAGGCAACTATGATCGAAGACAGCTAATCTTTTCTTGTCTTCCACTCTCAATGGCCAGGTCTCACTCACAGCCATAAAGGAGAACGGAGCGAACTGCTGAGCAGTACACCCCTCCCCCTTTGGTCGATAGCCAAATATCATGTCAACACCAGAGATGGCGTAAACTGGCATATGCAAAACTAGGCCTCTGTATCCGTGCTGAGATTTCGTCCAAAGTTAACATCAGTGTGTTTTGAAAGTTCTTAAGACTTCACAAAATCATAAATTTTCGTAAACTGTAGTTCACAAGAATAAGGACAAGAATGAATAAATGAAAATCTAAATATAATTCTGTCAGTTGATTGTGAGAATATCTGAGATAACCTTGGGTTGATAGACTTTTACGGATAAATAAAGCAGAAATAAAAGTTTTAGAGTCTGCAGAATTCTAACTAGCAACCTCCAAATTACGAAGTCAATGTTCTGCCAGCTTGAATACACTATCACCATTCCAATGTGAACATTGAGAGAATGACTGATTCTTTACTTTTACGAGTTGATCACGGATTGATCAACCACTGAAAACCATAGAGTATAGGACAGCCAGCTGTTACATCCTAGTTACAGAATCATCGGAAGTACGCACCCACCACAGGGGGTTCGAACCCAGGACCTTCCGGCTACAAGGCAAGCTGGCTCGTATACCATTTTAGCCACTGGGACCTGATGTCACGGCTCATGAATTCTAACTTTAATGTCTGCCTATCATCACAACAGCTGCCTAGTTAGGTCTAGCATGGACGAGGTAGACTGTTATTTGATAGTCAGATTATCTGTAATAGTCTGTTCAAATTAAGTCAAATAGTTCAAAACCCGATCTTAAAGTGATCAAGTCTTGAAACCATGATATGACTTCTAATATTAGCCACAGATAAACCCCAATATGATTTATCTATAAAGCAAAGTATTCGGTACCAAGAAAGAGAATATTTGTTCAGATAAAGTTAGAAGACAAAAATCGGATAAACAAACTGACAAATGATGAGAGACTGATAAGCACAAAGCCGGATAAAGGATCAGGAATAGTCCTCCTTGATAGAAGTGACTATATTAAAAAGATGAATGATATATTGAAGGACTCACAGAAGCTTCAAAAACTTGAGGAGAAGATAGATTTCACTAAAAAAATAAAGAATGAATTAACCAGACGTTTGAAAAAACTAAGGGAGGGGCAGATATTTTCTGAAAGTTTATATGAAGAAATCAGACCAACGGGCACGTATACGCCAAGATTGTATGGCCTACCTAAAGTGCGAAATCCAGGGGTACCATTAAGACCAATAATTGATATGCGAAATTCGCCCTACCATGCTCTAGCTAGATCGTTAGTAAATACTCTCAAACCTTTGTATGATAAGATAGTGAAATATAGCGTCAAATATGTATTTGAATTCGTAGACAAAATAAAAGATATTAATATCAAGGATATCTCTGGACATAACATCGTTATTCACAAATGTACCTCTAATAGAAACAGTTAACTGTATATGTGAACAAGCTGATAACCAGTCGATAAACATTGGGATCGGTACTGAAATCATAAAAGAACTGTTATTAAGGTGTACCATGAATGTAAACTTCAAATTTGACGGCACGCTTTACAGGCAAGGGGACGGGGTGGAGATGGGCTTCCCATTTGGTCTCATTATGGCTGATTTCTTTATAAGTAAGCTAGAAAATGGATGTTTGAACAACCTTATCAGTAAGCTCTGATTTCATTGCCGTAATATGGATGATACCTTCATTCTTTGCGATAGTGGTTCTGACAATATACACATTACCGCAAATTCGTTCCTATCAAGTGCAAAAGAAATTTAGTGAAGACCCTCAGACACAGAGTTAGATCTCAGAAGAAATTATTGAAGATGAATTCAGCCTTGTATATGATACCTTGATTGAAAATAGCTATCCAGAGAAATTCATCAGGAAACATATGACTGAGAAAATTGAGAAGGACTACTCACTATCCCTAAACAAGAAGCCTTTATATATACTATTGCGATTCAAGGGCGATATACCAAGTGAGATAATTACGAGGAAATTAAGGAAATCAGTTCTAAGGACTTTTCATGCTAGCCAACTACACGTCTTATGCTCTACACGATCGATGGTGCTACCTCGACTGAAAGATGAAGTACCTAGACTAGCTGGCCACTTCAAATTGTATCTACCAAATCAACTGCGCACGTGATGGAGCGAGTTATATTGGCCGTTGCTCTAGGAACTTGATTTTTCGTACTCGCTCAAGAATATCTCCCAGTATGGCTAAGTAAAGGTGTATTTAAGACCATTAACAGTTCGATATTGGACCATCTGGTGCAAACCGGCCACAAAGCCAGCCAGCCAGCCAGCGTTGAAGAATCACTCTCTATCATCATCTACCGGGTGCCTAATAAATTGCCAAAACATCATCGAATCAACACATGCTCCAAACAGCAGAGGCCACTGCAATTCGCCGCCTCAAACAACCAGTGCTCTGTGTTCAAAAGAAGCAAGTCCAGCCAGACACTACTACTGCCCTGGTCGGCCTTCAGTAGAGACTATAAACTCATGAATTTGTAATATTGTCTTTCCTAATGTGTTTTCTGACATTCATTTTATTGTCAAGTTGATGCTGTTGAGCTGTAATCTTTCAGTACTATTCATTTGATATTATTTAAACAACAACATTAATGTTGTTCATAACACTAATTCATTCATTCATTCACTATAATGTATGTATATAACTGTAGAGCCTGATGATGAAGGGGCTATCGAAAAGAGTACTCTTTGTTTAGTATCCATTCTTTTGAAAATCTTAATTCAGTCAGTTCTTCTTTCAAATGATCAAAAGGACTTGGCGTGTCACTGAGAGCATTTCTAACAACCAACTGTAGGTATACATCAACAACTGCTTTTCTTCCATATTGAAGACCAAATGGCCCATCGGAAAGGATAAGAAAAACGGAACTCTGGCAACGAATCAATTAATCAGCTATTGCCCAAAGAATATATACGGAATGGACAAGGATCGAACAGACGCTGAGGCCGTTGAATCACATCACACGCCAGACCATCTCTCTAGCGGGACCCTAATGGGGAACGATGAGTTGAGCTGGGGTTCAAAGGTGATATGGAGGAGACTTTGTGAGCAGGAGATGACATCTTACCGGCAATCGTTGAGTCAGCTTAATGAGAACTGTAGAGAACGAGATGAAATGGAAAGTTTTTGTTGAAGTCCTATGTTCCAATGGGAATCTAAGGGAATAATGATATTGACCTAAAAACTATTTCGTGATTGCAATTTCAACAGAAGAAATTGTTAATTAGTTTGTTTAACTGTGTTTTCAAAAGCTGATTTGTAGGGATTTGATTTGTTTTTCAAGTTTGGCTATGAACTGATATCAGTTAGAGAATCATAGAAAACTAGAGAGTACACTGGACAGCTGTTTCGTCCTAGTTCGTGACTCATCGACAGTATGCACCCACTGGGTTTTAATCCATGGTCTTAATCTGTTTTATCTGGTTTTACTCACTTACCGTATTTCCGTCTTCTTGTCTCTGCTTGTTGTTTCCATTCATTGCGTTCATCTGCTTTAATGGTCATAAACTTCCTTAATTTATCATTATGATCAATAATTCTTTGTAAATCTTTAATTTCAATTTCAAATGCTGCCGTATCTTTATCATTCTTTTCTTTTAATGCATTACTTTTATTCTTTGCATCTGTTCTATATATTTTAATAATAATTAAAAATTAAAGTCAAATAGTAAACTCTACCTTTGATCGTAAGTAATAGTAGCATGCTGAATTAATTTTAGCTTCAATTTGTTTAAATGTGTTAATTTATCCTTTAATTTTTGTTGTATTGAATAGTAAATATTTCGTTCATTTCGTGCACGTTCAATTTCATGACGAATTTTATTATTATATGCTAATGTTTCACAGAATTTCATATTTTTCTAAATAAATAAATAAAACAAAATCAAGATTTTTAAGAAAACAATTATTTGTATTTACCTCATGTAGATTATTTTCCATAACTATAAGCTTTTTTTCAACTTGTACTTTTAATTCAACCGCTTCAATTTCTTTTCTTGCCTGTATTTTACGTATTTGTTGTTTCTCTTGAATTAACTTTTCAATTTTACGCGTCTAATTAATTAATTGATATAGTAAAACAGAAAATGGCTTTACTTCATTGTCTAATCTTTTTCCGTAAGTTTTTAATTCATCAGTTTGTAGTTGTAAATTATCTTGTTCTTGTAAAATTTGTTTCAACTGTTCAATACACTTCAAATCTTGTTTCCTATTTTGCTCACTATCAACAAGTGTTAAAAGGCATTTTATTTCTTCATTTTCTTTTTCCAGCATTTCTGTAGCTTTTCTATGAGAATTATCAGTTTAAGTAAAACAAATTTTTTTATTTGTATATTACTTATATTTTCCTAATTTAACATTGAATTCTTCATTTTGTTTTTGGCGTTCATTTTGTAATATTCTCAGCTGGTTACTTAATCGTTCATATTCTTCCATCATAAGTAAATCAGTATTGTCTTCTTGTTCAGATTGAGCTGAATTTGGTCGTGGCATTATTTCTTATCAGTGGGGCGGGAAAAGCTGGAATGAATTAAAAAGACGGCGGCTGTTTTAAGGGTATTAGTTAAGCCAATAAGTCAAAATTTTGAAGTCATTACACGTCACAAACAACACAAAACAAGAAAATCCCCAGAAAATGAGAAGAAACACTTTATTATTGTTCAGCTCTTGGACTTCAGCTGGAACATTGGAGTTCATCAACAGATCTCCATTTCACTCTTTTCTCTGCTGTCTTTTTTAGTGGGTTGCACGACTTCCTCCAAGTTTCAGTTTCTTCTTCCCATGATTTCGTGTATGCCACCCTCAGATTTATACCTAGCTCATTGATTTCCATTCGGATCCCACTTCAGGATTTGCCTGGTATGTGATATTACCTGAATGACTCTTCATTGTATGTTCAGTCCATCTCCATTTCCTCCCGTATATTTGTTGGATCAGTCACAGGTTGTTGACTGGTTCGCTGTACTGTCAGATCACCTTGGTCCTTCTCCTTTCTCACCATCTTATCTCTACTACTGTACAGAGGCAGCTGATGATGATAATGAAAGTCAGCAACCTGTAGTGGTAAATAATTCCCCAAAATTATTGACCATAGGAATAGATTATGTCTAAGAGAAGAATTACATCGTGATCATAAGAATCATCAGTGAACATTGGATGCTGACACTCAGAGTTTGAGTCGACTTGTTTCGTTGAAGGCTTCCCGCCAAGCATCCCCGCCATTTGGTGCTCTGTCGTGTCACTTTCGTGCACGATAACTAGCTCGGTTAGCTTCCGCTTTAATCCGCGATTTGGTTCCAAAATATATCTCGTAATTTGGACAATCGATTGTGGTATTTTGCTTTGCCTTTGGTACATGAGAATTAAATAAGTTAGAAGTTGCTGGTATAAGATCTTGCGTTAATATACTCAGTACTGTTCGCGAACGTCTATACCGTCCAACCTTTGAAAACCCATTCAAAATGCTTTTCGTGATACACCAAGTCTTCGGACCATACAGAAGCGTTGACTTGACATTAGTCCTAAAATTCTGAATTTTGTTAATTGCGCTGAATGCCATAAATCTTCACACTGACTTGAGAATAATAAACTCTCATCTTGCTTTCCCGATCCTGACCTTGACGAAAAGACAAAAAGTTATCCTAAATAATTAAAATAATCTCATCATTCCCCATAACGAAAGGTAGTTCGGATGTGGTTTTAGTGACTGAAATCATGTATGTTACGTATAATACCTTTCTGTAACATCCACATTGCGGAAATGAAAACATTTCTTTCCCATTGTAAATTTAAAACATTTAGTATTTATTTAAAAAGGGGCAAAGTTAAATTTTAAGCACTACTAACTACCAATCAGCGAATGACCTCAAACTCACCAATCACGTGGAGGCATTTTTGTTTATGGAATACATGTATTTATGAAAAAAATGCATAAAAATGGTATAAAAGTTTTACAGAAGATATCTTTCTCTCATATGTGATAAAAAATAGCTCTCAGTTTTAGGTTGGTGTATCAACAGGGTATAATTTCATTGTGAATAAAATTTATTTTGGTAAAGTCTCATAGTGTAATACAGTAATATTTACTGGGCAATAGATTGTGCTCGAAACGTCATCAGTAAATATTAATACTGCATAACATTGTGAGATTTTATCAGAATAAATATTACCCACAATCGAATTAAACTACACCATAGTGCACAATTACTATTCTTATATCAACAGAATAATTTAACCACATTCTCTGCATGTAATTATATAGGTCTTCTAACCCTAACAATAAACCCAATCTTTCCTGAACCTAATCCTAACGTGAAAATATCCCTAAACTAAATGTAATCTAACTCGAACTGACTCTAATATCGCCTTTTATTAAGTTAACCTAACCCTAGCTGTCCTTGGCTTAAAGCATAACTTAATCTTTCCCGAACCTGAGCTGAAACTTGCCAGATGTCCCATTTAATAACCTAACACTTGATGATGACATTATTATTTTCCGGATTCCATTAACTTGCTCAGTACGCATTTCAAAGTCATGGGTGCGGTCGCACTCCATTGGTAGTTAGTGGTGCTTAAAGTTTAACTTGACCTAAATGGTAGTATTTAGTGAATTCATAAATTTAGATAGAGCTTCGTTCATTTGAATGCTTTATAATAACGATTATTTATCCTAGTTGCTAAGGTTAACATACATACAAATGCATGGACATCATGTGACAGCAGATACATATCAATTTTAGTAAACCTTTATTCTGTGAGAATTAACTGATAATTTATTGACATGATTAAGGAGTAAATAAATGGAATTATCTTCCGGCAGAAGAATAATTGCATCTGGTGAAGTACTATTCGACTTTTTTGCTTATATGAGAAACTAGTGTTAGTTAAACGATGAAACTTTTCAAATGTTATATTCAAAAGAGATTTTCCTGACTTCAAATTAAATTTACTCTCTAACCAAAATCATTGGAACAACAAATAGAAAGCCGGGGGATACTCGACAACTGTTTCGTCTTAGTTAAATTCTTAAAGATTTCGTTTACAGAAGGAATTAATAGTTTTTAGTGAATAAAGCTAAAAACTGTGATAAAACCTCCACAACTTCTTCTACTCTTCCATACAGTCTAATATGAAATTCAACCATTCTGTACATACTGGATAACATTTGGAATCCAACTTGCTACTCATAGTAAGACCAGAACAACTAATCGGCTTTAGTCAAAGTTATATTTAAAGTTTTCAGATATTTAGAACAGACGTTCACCTATGTCTATTGTCATCGTATAGTGTCAAGCCAAAAGACAAATTAATTTATAATCGGATCTGTCAGAATATATTAATAGTAGTTACCTCAATGCTGTTTCTTTTATGGGAAATATTACTGTTGTCGATTCAGACGCTTATGGGAATAAGTTTTTTGAGACGGAAAATCTTCTGTGTTAGTTTTGAAGTCGTAATCTTTCCACTTACTGATATGATAAACCTACTGAGCAGCTTCGGTTTGTCTACTTATGGCTTGAATTTCTCAGGCTTTGTGAATACAATGCATGATACATTTTGTCAGATAAAGGTTGTTGTGGTTATCGTTCCGGTCATCATTTTCCCCAGTTTGACTTCTGTGTTTATTTCAATGTGGGAGATAAAGTCAAGTGATCAGTTGGTTATAGCGTCGTGTTCGGAAGCCATATGCCAGTCAACTGAGACTAACTTACTATCCAGTATCAGTTTATCATAACAATATATCATAGAAAGACATGACCTAAAAATGAGGGTACACTATCACGCGGGGTTAGCTCAAAGTTCTCCATCTTTATAGGCATTAATCACGGCTTTCACCAAAATCGACAGTAAATGTCCACTAATTTATGTGTATCTCTGGTGAAGTCAAAGCTAGAAAATTACGCCAAGTCTTAAGGTGTACTCTTGCGTTCTAGACAGAGTTCAAAGGAAGGCAGTAAGTATGTTATCTCGTATGACCAACTTACCATTCGATGAAAGACTCACCTGTCTGAATCTCTTCTACTTGCCAAACCGTAGTCAGAGAAAAGACATCAGTGCAAAGCTCTAAAGAATAAATATGGACCTGATTTTTCCTTTCTACAAGGTAAAAACATCTCATGGGACATAGTAGAAGAGTTAAAAAAGCCAAGGAGGAGACATATTACTTTGAGAAACTGATTCTCCCACAGAGTTACAAACGCTAAGAACCGACTTTCAAAATGGGTGGGTTTTACGTGCTCAGTTGAATCGTTCAAGAAGAGACTAGACAAGTACAAGTAATCATTTAAAAAGGATTAACACTTGCTTGAAACCTATCCTCACTCAAAATCTGAATATGATTAAAAGAATATTCATTCAGACTGACTTCTATTTGATTAACATTCCATTTTTTATAAGCTAATAGGAGATGGGTGCTTTCCAGAGTGAAGTAAGGAAGAAATGTTTGGTCACTTAGCTCCTTTATTTTGGGAAAATAAGGAGGTAAAAATGTGGTTAACTTCCAGCGTTTTACTGGGATCACTCTATTTAAAACTAATGGCTTCTTTTAAGGCGAATAAAAACGAAAAGGCAAACTTATTTTTTCACCAATCCTGTTTGTTGAAGTGTGTCAGTTTGTTCTGGCGTCGGAGCCAGAGTGGTAGAATGCTCGCTTGGGGTTCGACCCTCGGCCGAAGCATTCCTTTACGTCACCAAGCCAGTAATAAGACTGGTAAGGAGGGAAGGATAGGCATGAAGAGAGCAACCCAACCCCGAAAAAATAAACATCACTGCTACCGAGAGCTCATGACTGTAGCTTGAAGACCTATGTTCGAGGAATGAAAAAATTAGTTTGCTTTTAATGCTACTTTGAAGACTACATGCCTTTTTAACTATTATTTCATTTAGATAATGTTTTGCGAGTATAGCTCGAGTCAGATAAACTAGGCAATAAAATCTACTGAAAGAGTCAGAAGAGTGAGAATAAACAAGAAACAAGTCCGTCGACAATGTGGGGTGAATTGAAAAATGTTTATGAAATGGTGGAGTATGTTGGCAAAAGTAGAAAAATTCCATTAATAATGTAGGGTTCAGTGTGATGAATGGGAACAATGATTCATAACTACGTTTATCACACGTCTTTTGCGTTCGGATTCGCCTAACAATGGAAGGAAAAACGACAATATGGATTGGATGAGACGTCGTTTTAATACGACATGAAAACCAAATTTCTGCACATTCACCAACTTCTCTCAATGTTTCTTACGTGAACAACCAATAAATTCACACATTCTTCTGCTTGATGGAATGCTTCCCATGCGTTCATGCACTAAGTCTATGCTCATAGAATAGTTCTTGGATTCATAAGATGATTTCTATCTGCAGTCACCGCGAAATTCCACGTACACGACCTAATAAGCCGTCGCCAAGTTGGACCGTATTATGAACATGATCAGAAGATAACCTTCGCACACAGTTACAAAACATTCGAGTTTTATCAAAATAAACAACTAAGA